AGTTGGTGACTATACTAAAAGGCACATGGCCCCTGAACACAGGTCAACAAACCACCATGGTGATCAAAACTGTCACAGCCTGGAGTTCCCAGTTCTTCTCATAGTCATTCAAGCATATATAATTTTTTAAACCAAGCTAAAGAGTGCATGATGTACAATGTGTGAGCATCTGTAACACAGAGAAATTAAACCCAAGGCAATCATACTTTAAAATAGGAAACTTGTTATTAAATTACAAGGGCAATATATGGTACAATGCCTTTTATGTCAGAACCTTAAAGTTGCCCTTATAAAGTCAACCTCTCCATCCAATAGCTGTATGCTCAGTGCCAACAAGGTAGTTTAAGCTTGGCCTATAATAATTTATCAGATTTTTGAGGAATTGATTAAACTCACCTTCACTAAAAATTCCACTGTTAGCATGGCTGCATATGAACTAAGAGCATGGTTGTGATAGCTAACTTTCTCCTTCCCCCTGTTATGCTTGCCTTTTGGCATTTTGTCCTGAGCTTGGTACACAACAGGTTGAAATTGAGAATGAATTACTTTAAATTCATTCTCAATTTCAACCTGCTTTTCTTTCCACCATTCCAGCCTTGATTTTAACTCCTTTTCAACAGCTATGAGAGAGTACAGAATATCTCTGTAGTGTACAATAAGTTCCAGAATCCTCAGAGTACATTTTCAATGTTTCAATAGAGAAACTTTATTTATTTGACAAAATAATGACAAGCATTACTTGAACACAAGTAAATTTGCATTGACACGTCTTAAACTGAATTTCCCTCTTAATTAGCACCATAATAGTAATCAAATAATATATTATGCAACTGTTACAGCACAGTCACAAGATGTATTAGTCCAGGTAAACAACAGATTTCACTCAGTTATACAAGCTCTGACCACGCACAATTCTTCAAAAAGAGACATGTGGTACACTTTCAAAATACATTATTTACATCAATTGTATATTTTACTTTTTTTATAACATTATTTTGGCTCCATTACCTGAATCTTTTAACTGAATCTCTTCCAACTTTGTTCCAAAATCCCGGATAAAAATACCACTGTCTAGCATTTCCTTGAAATACTATATCAATGGTAATAAATTACCTGATAATTTTGTGAATTGAGCACAGTTGAATGTGACATAAGTCATAAGAGTGAAGGGTGGTGTTTTGTAAGCCATTAATAGCACCATAACTGCCTAAAAATCATAATAGAATAAATCAAAAAAATATTAATGTTCAGGAACTGTACTAACCTTTTGACGTGCCTCACAGAATGTTATCTTGTTCAGAATACATAGCTTTGCTGCTTCAGGGTCATCATAGTGGGCTATCATTTTGTCTGTAGGCAATGACTTTTCCACAATTTCCTCAAGGGATGAAAGAATTTTTCTCTCAGTGCTGCCTAAGGGAATAAGACACATTGTAGGTTACAATAACTTTAATCACATAAAAGAAGTAAAATACATTCAGATGTATTAGACATGAATAAAATTAACATTCAGATGTATTAGACATGAATAAAATTAACATTCAGATGTATTAGACATGAACAAAATTAACATTCACGTAGTTAATTTGAAATGACAATGTAAACTATTAGATAAAAACAAAACAAAACACATCTATCAGTCAGGAAAATCATTAGCAATTGAATAAAGCTAGTAATAATAACACTGTCGTTCAAAATCATCTTTGTGTCTATGGTGAAGTTTCATTAAGTTTATATGAATATAAACAGCTGCTGATAATAAGCTTATTGACCTAATAGTAAATTGGTCTAACCTGAGAATGAAGCAACAGAAAAGTTGTGTCTCCCAGCAGCAGTTTGTTGCCCCTGCTTAAGTTTAACAGAGATTCTATCCCCCTTAAAATTTGAGGGGCCGTATTGGGAAAGTTCCTCATTGCACTCTTGCAGGGAGCCAATCTTGTGAGCGAGCAGGCCAATACTTTTCAATAGCTGTTCTGTATTTCGCATCTCACAATGCAGCGCACAGAGACTCATTGAAGATAAATCTTCATCAAGAAGGCATGTGAGATCATCTCGTAGACCAGTGAATCTATATTTGACAGTTTAAGAAAAGGAAAATAGCACACATTAGGACTTTTGTACATGATTTTAACTCACTAATAAACTTACTTTAAAAACAGGTTT